GTGGGCTCTGCTTGAAATATCAGTCTAATTAGTTTGCCGCAGTAACGGATTCCAAACCATGATGGTGACCCAGCCATTCCGAGTCTCTCTTCTGCTCGCATGTGCATAAGCCCACGCCTTTCCTAATCCAACAGGGACTCTGCTTGGGGCCGGCGGCCATGGCTGCCAAGCCCGTGTGGCAGCTCCTGGGGCTCTGTGAGGAGCGGGAGACTCAGCACGGCCAGAGAGCCTCGCCAGCATCCGAGACTTCGTGAGATCAGCCTGGACAGCGGCTGCCTGGACAGGGCTGGGGGCAGTGGGGGATGAAGATGGTGGTGGGGCGCTCCGCGGCTCATGAGAGCCGAGCAGGCGCTGGGCGCCCCCTGACCTTGCGTTCTGGATTTGGGCGGGCTGCAGGTGAGTCCCACCCCAGCACAGAGACGGCAGTGTCACTCCGGACACTGCACAGCTGCCAACGTAGACGTCCAGTGGTGACATTTTACTGTTGTGGGAAAACGTTTACAAAAGATCGTGGTGTGAGGACATTGGGTTTAAGAACAAATGAGACAGGAGAGGAAGGGCAAGATGGCGGACTAGAAACATCTTTGTTTTGACTAAATGAGGACAGACCGGTAACAAAGGAGAGACTGTATTCTGAAGAGAGAGAGAGAGGATGAAGGGAAGAAATGATTCAGAACACGCAAGAGGAGTCCAATATAAATGTAGAAGTTCTGAGACAATCAAATTGAAATTCTGGAAATGAAACATTCAAAAACTCAAATAAAAGTCTCAGTTGAAAGCTCCTCCAGTAGCCTAGATGGAACTGTGCATAGAACATCGGGGCTTGAAGGAAATGTGAATGTGCCAGAACACTCAGATGAAGATAAAGAAAAAAATAAAAAAATAAGCAACGTCTAGGACGCCATGAAAAGACCAAACTGGGTGGCACTTGGGAGCCCGGGGCTCTGCGCGGAGGTCAGGCTATGCTCAGCGGGTCTTGAAGATAGCAGTGGGGCCACCATGTCCCGAGTCTGTAGCTGGGACCCAGCCCAGGCCACTTCCATGGCTTCTCGCCGGTGTCTTGGGGGCCCAGTGGGCTGCGGTGGGCCCAGCAGTGTGGGTGCACAGCCCCGGTCCACAACGCCCACGCAGCGCGGGAGGCGGTGCTTCTCCACCCAAAACGCTCCTCCCGCCAGGTTCAGGCTGTGTCCTTGATGCTCCCAAATCCTGGCTCTGCCTGCACCAACTGCTCCGGGTCCACAGGGTAGGGAAGCCCGGAGCTCGGCCCCGGGCTGGGTGGAGAGGGCTCAGGAGGCAGGCCCCGCCTTCCCGCTCCCGGCCCGGCCCCAGCCCCCAGCCCGGGATACAGACCCGCTGTCATCCCTTGGCAAACTCAGAGCCCCTCCTGCTCCATCTGCAGGCCCGCTGCGCCCACACCTGCACCACATTACACCAAACGAGAGTGAGTTTTCCTGGAATTGACTGAATTATGTTTCCCACAGGAGCCAGATCTTGGGCAGGATGGGGACTAAGCCGGGTTATATGAAAGTAATCATGCCTGGCACACTTGGTTTATGAAGTCTGAATGAAAGCCTCTGTGGCCAGCTCTGAGTGGGGGTGGGGGAGAGACAAATCTGTCTTTATCCCCAGGTAACAGGAGAGCATCTCCCAGGAGGAGGCCTGGCCCCGGCAGAGCCCAAGCAGGCCCGGGGTTTCTCTGCAGGACCCCTGCTCAGGGCCAGCAATCTGAAGACAGCTTTCCAGTCTGCTGTTCACTCCGCAGCTTCACCCCAGGCCGCCGCTGAGCCATGCTCTGCCCTATACCCCTGCTCCGGCCGAGGCCCAGACAGAGCCAGCCTAATCCACAGAGCCTCGCGGGGAGCCTCGGCATCAGAACACCAAACCCCCCACCCCACAGAGGGTCCCACGGAAGCCAGACAGGGCAGCTGTCCCCAAAGAGAGGGACGGGGCAGACATCCCCGAAGAGAGGGAGGGGCGGGCATCCCTGCACAAAGGGGCAGGGAAGGCTTGGAGTGGGAGGGGGCTCAACGGCGATGACAAAGAAACACCTCCAGACAGTCCTGGTCACTCTGGCACCCCTGGGGTCTCTGGACAATTGTGCATGATGACAGATCCCTGGACAGAGCTGGGGACCTGAACAGGCCTAGTTTTCTGCTTCACACCCTGCTCCATGTCCACAAGCCCATGAGGACCAGCCCCTCCCCGAAGGCCGCCAGCCTCTTCCTGAGGTGGGGGAGGTGCAGGTGGCCACGTCCGGCCGCTGAGGCTCAGGACACTCCGGGACAGGGTCCTCCCCCACGGAGCACTCACAGCCTCACATGGGTCAGGGGTGGCTGCAGGATGGGGGCTGCCCTGCAGAGGCCGGGGTGGGATTGCAGCCATTCAGAAGTGAGCAGGTGCTGAGCCACAGCCCTGGCCTTTCTGGCTGGGGAACACTCTGGAAGGCTGTGCACACATGCTCCTGAGCGTGGAGGAAAACGGAATTTGAACAGCTGGCAAAGACATTTTTCTCCTATGCCGCCGCAGGCAGCTCGGCTCTCCAGCTATCTCCTCCAGGGACGCGCATCACGCCCGGCCCAGCAGCCTGAGCGTATCGATCCACACCAGACTCATTTCCACGCGGAGCGTGAGCGGAGCTGGCCGGCCTCGGCCAGCTGCTGGCTCCCCGTGAGTGCCAGGGTGGAGGAGGCTGGCCAGGCTACTGCAGGCTTCGTGAGAAGAGGCCTCCAGGGCCAGGCTCACAGAGAGGGCCACAGGTCAACGGCGCCATGGCCAGCAATACTGGGGTGCTGGCTCCCCAAGGACCCGGACCTACCGGCAAGATTAAAGAGAGAGATTCAACAGGCTCAGAGATGGGATAGATGCGATGAAATCCTGGCCCAGGCGGACACTGCTGTCTCTGCAATGGCAGTGGTCAGGGAGGACGCCCGGGCTGTGCTCCTCGCACCCAGGCCCAGGCCTTGGTGGATGGCAGACACAAGGCTGACGCCTGCTCCAGAGTTCTGCCACTGTCCCACAGGTGAACGGTCCCCGCATCCTCTCACGCTGCTCACTCGGCGAATGTGCCAACGACACTGAGTCCTCAGACACCCTCTCCCTGCTCATTTCACTGGGTGGGTGGTTCTCATGGCCCAGTGCCCACAGGGTGGGGGGTGGGCAGCGTGCGCTGTGGGCATGAACACCACCCATCGCCCCCCGCCATGCTTCACGCCGGGGAAACCAGCCCTGGCCGAGCTGACACCTGTGTCTTCAAAGAGTCTCTCTCTATCCGGGCACAATCACTGGGCAGCCCCGAGCCCAGACCAATCGGGCACGCCCTTCCTGACCACTCTGGGCACTATGATTGGCTCCAGGATGGACACAAGGCCCCACAGACCCAGCGAATACTGGGGTTTGTGCTCACAGAACCCCACATGATCTGGACAATGGTGGCAGCGCGCGCTGTGCACATTATCCTATGTTTTAGGAAAATCGCACAGTTTTGCATAAAATTAAGCCTGTCAGGAGTACTGTCAAAATATTGCTGGTGAGGAGATGACCAGGCTTTTATTCTTCTGCTCACAGCTCTTTCATTTTAAGCTCACAGTGCTAACACACTGTCTTTGTGGGTATCTCAACAGCGTGCGGACACTTGATTTCTTATAGATAAAGCAAAACTCAAATAAAAATGACTTCATTTTCTCAACGTGACTATAAAGGGAAAGACGTTCACTTAAGTAGGGAGGAGGGGCGGCTGTAACGATGACGAATCATAAGGTAACAGTGATGAAGGCGTCCCAGAGGTGGTGACCGAGATGACCACAGTGACCGTGCTGATGGTGGTGATGGTGAAGATGGGTGTGGTTTTGGTGATGGTGTTGAAGATGGGTGTGGTTTTGGTGGTGGTGGTTTTGGTTGTGATCATGAAGATGGGTGTGGTTTTGGTGGTGGTTGTGGTTTTGGTGGTAGTCATGAAGATGGGTGTGGTTTTGGCAGTGGTAGTGGTGGTGGTTTTGGTGGTGGTGGTTGTGATTTTGGTGGTGGTGGTAGTCATGAAGATGGGGGTGGTTTGGTGGTTTGGTGGTGGTAGGGGTAGTAGGATGGTGATATTGGTGGCGATGGCTGTGATTTTGATAATGGTGGTGATTACAGTGTGACAAGGCTGATGGTGGTAATGATGTATAAATGGTAATGATTATGAATTTGAAAGGAAGAAAATAACAATGAGGGTAACACGGCCCATCATTCACTGGCTTGTGGTGTGGACAAGTGGACGAGCCTCTGGGTGACTCCGTTTCTTCATCTTCTCAGTGAGCCTCAGGCCCTGGCCTCAGGGAGAGGGCTGAATGAGCAAGTCCCATTACCTAAGCTCACGGCCATGGTCAGTGCAGCACACACACTGCTCACCCAGCTTCTTACATGGACAGGGAAGGACCAGGGTCCATGCTGGGTCCAGCCAGCATGCCCAGGAGGGAGCCTGTGCCTGGAGCCTGGTTCTGGCTGACTAACAAACTGCTCTGACCCCCTTTCACTTCAGGACAAAACAATAGTCTCAAGAGCCTAGCTTTTTCTATGAGGAAAGACAAAGTGTCACCAGCAGGGAGATCAAACCAAGACAGAGTCCTCTGTTAGCAGGTGATTTCTCGGCTTCAGTCTTGCTTCCTTCCAAGTCAGTATCCCTCGGTTACCATACCTCACGCGCGCACAGTCAGAGCAGGACCAGGGGCCAGACACGGTGCAGCCAGGACAACCCCACAGCCGTCTGTCTGGGCCATGCGCAGTCAGGGCTGCAGGCACCCCGACAGCAAGGCACCCCACCACAGGGAGGACCATCTCCCGTGGAGAGTCCACGGAGTGGCCCACCAACGGCAGAGCAGCCTCCTGGACGGACCCTGGCCCGCAGGGGCGGCGCGGCACTGCGCCCCACCCCAGGGAGCGGGGCGCGGGGCGGCGGGGCTTGAGGACAGCCTGTGGGACCTGCTCGCTGATTCTGATGCGCACACCCTGAGGGAGTCTCTTCATCATGAGTGCAGTGGTGGCGACGACCCCTTCATGTAGACTTCTGGTGGCCAGAGAGGAGTGGCAGGTGGAGAACGGGAAGCGGGTGGGGGCATTGCGAGCACCATACCTGGAGGCAGCAGGGACGGGGAGGAGACCCTGACGGCTTTGACAGCGGTGTGAAGGGTGAGACGTGGTGGTAACGTGGGGCCTGGAGGAAGGTGACGCTACGGGTGACCACGGCAAGGGTGGCCACGCAGGCGGCGGTGACCGTGCTGATGGCGATGTTGGCGAGGGCGGCGGCGCTGCTGAGGTGGTTACAGGGGTGAGCGTGGTGCTGATGCAGATGCAAATACAGTGATAACAATGCCAACAGGATGGGACCAGGCCAAGACTGCAGGTGAAGATGGCGCTCATGGTTATAACCATGCTGCCGCTGGTGCTGGCCACCGATGGAAAGGCGATGAGCAGCGGGACGACATTTGTGGCGAGCAGGGGGGAGGCGCGTGGCTGCCCGAGTTAGGAGGAAGCGCTCGGACGCCTTTCTCTGCCTTCCCTGAATCCCTACCTCACCGGCATGCAAGTTCTTTCTTTATTCTGAGACAACAAAGATGGACAGGTGCCGAGAGGCTAAGGGCATGGGTCTAGTGAGGATGCGGGGGAGCCTTCAGCCTGCCCGCAGTGCCTGAGCCAGATTCCACACCTGTGGACCGGGCAGCCACCACACCCGGGCCGCCCGGTTGGCGGGCAACCTGGGCACGGCAGGCCCTGCAGGGGCGTGGCCTCTGCCCGTCTGTCTCCTCCCCCGCCTGACCCTACCATGAGAGCCCTGCACGGGCGTGGCCGTCTGTCTCCTTCCCCGCCTGACTCTATCATGGAGGCATTGGGCAGACCCTCGTGCAGGGCATTGCACAGGACCCGGGCGATGCTTCTCTGTCCTCAGCCCTGGAGCCCAGGTCCTGGAAGGCTAGTGCCTCCATTCCAGGTGGTGGGAACGGGTCGCCCTCTGGGGACAGGGACATGTCTCCAGACACAGGAAGAGAAGGATTATTTATAGACAGCACATGCTGGTTTATACTGTCAATAAAATGCTTCAATTATGCAGAGCTGAATAATAACACGGCTCTCGACCTCCTTGGGTTGGAATATTTCCAGTGATCCACTGATGATGTGAATTAAAGTTATATAACAAACATCACACTAAGAGGCATTATTCCTCTAGATAAACAGACACTATTTTCTAACGTTACTTCCATCTACAATTTATGCTTAATTTCATAGCAACGCAAGGACTCGAGTCCCCATGGGGGTGGGCTCGCAGGGCCACCTGGTGAAGGTGTCTCCTCACAGAGCAGGCTTTGCTACCATCCCGGCCCCTGGAGCTCCTGGGACCACTGCCTCCAGGTGTCACTGCAAGTCCTGGCTGGCTTGTACCGGCCTCATCCTTGGCTGCACCACAGGCCAGAGGGGCCCACTGAGCACGTGGACACCCTCCTGCTGACCGCCGCCTCCTGCTGACCACCGCATGTCCCCTGACAAGCCACAGTGTCGCTCACCGGCTAGGGTGCTGGGCCTTGGTTTTGCCAGCTGCCACACTGGGAACTGGACCGAGGGGCACAGGTCTCTGAGCAACTTCCTCCCACACAGCAGATGCCCAGCTTTCTGCTCGGATCTAATACGTGTGTGGTCTTCCTCATACACAGGCTCCCCCAGGCTCACATCCTGGCTCCTTGGGCCAGTGTCTCAGCCACAGACAAAACATGGCATCCCTGTGTGTAACCGCAAGGACAGAGACGAACCTGGGACCCGGGGCCACTGGGAGAAAGGAAACTCCATTTCAGCTCCGCAGTTGGGGCCCATGGGAAGGAAGTCAGACATATCCCCTCTGGCTGGCTCCTCATCCCTGACTGGCAAGAGCTGTGGCTGTAGATGTCTGGGCACCAGAGGGGGAGGTGTGTCTGCAGACGCGGCCGAAAGCAGGGGAGGAAGTGCCCAGGGGCCTCCCGCCCAGCTGACGGGACCCTTGCGTGTGAGTCGGATGCTTCACCACCGTGACTGACACCTGCAGCCTCTGAGAGCAGAGAGGCTCCGGGCTTCAGAGCTGTCAGCCCCCCCTCCCCCCCCCCGCCTCCTGTCGGCCTGTGGGGAGGACCAGCGTTGTGGCAGGGAGCATGTTAAGGATCTGCTTGTCTCATGATGCTCAGGGAGCAGACGGACAAGAAGTGCACAAGACCCACCCCCCAGCCCCCCCTGACATGACCCACCTCCTCCAGGCATGCTCCGCCTCCCAGAGCTGCCAAACCACCCGCAGAACCATCCGCACGTGAGCCAGAGGCAGCATTTCATATTCAAACCACAACACGACCCTCAGCAAACTCTTGTGTTCCTGCCAGTCCTTGTTAGGGTTTCTGTCGCTTACAACCGGAAGTGAATTCCCATTGCGCTCCAGCTCCACCCCCACGGGAGCAAGAGGAGCCACGAGGAGAGGAGCCAGTGTGCACACGGCCTCCGTGGGCCTCCTGGAAGCAGCCAGGCCTGAAGCTGTAACTGGGACACTTACACTTGAGCCGCCAGCTCCCTTTCTCTAATGCCTCTGAGCTGGGGTTTCTGAGCTGTGCCACCTGCAGGGTTAGCAGTGGCTGACTCCTGGTTAGCAGTGGCTGACTCCTGGTTAGCAATGGTTGACTCCTGGTTAGCAGTGGCTGACTCCTGGTTAGCAGTGGCTGACTCCTGGTTAGCAGTGGTTGACTCCTGGTTAGCAGTGGTTGACTCCTAGTTAGCAGTGGTTGACTCCTGGTTAGTGATGGCTGGCTCCTGGTTAGTGGTGGTTGACTCCTAGTTAGCAGTACTTGACACCTAGTTAGCAGTGTTTGACTACTGGTTAGCCATGGTTGACTCCTGGTTAGCAGTGGTTGACTCCTGGTTAGTGATGGTTGACTCCTGGTTAGCAGTGGTTGACTCCTGGTTAGCAGTGGTTGACTCC